TTCCCATCATCAATCCAATATTCTTGATGTTCACTCTCTTCTCTTGTGTTGGAGATTGTGGAAGAATGGTGATGAAGACTTCTCTTGAAGATTGCTTGGGGTTGTTGTTTGCAGACTGTTTGTCTGTTTGCTGTTTGTCTGTTTTGATGTTGAGCTTTCTGTCTGCTGTTTCTTCTGTCTGCTCTGCTTTGCTTGTATGACTGATTGACTGTGTGTTGCATTAGAAGTAGGCTTCATATATATTATTATAGGCCTAGGAGCATCCCAAAGGTTGAGAATAGCTCCCTTTGCTTGTCTGCATTAGAGGTTGAGTTTCTCCCTCTGCTTGTATTTTTACTGTGTGGCTTTGCTTGCTGGTATTTGGTTGAGCTCAGCTCCCTTGCCTGTGTGGTGTGTGGCCTTTGTGCTTTGTTTGTTTAGAAGTTGAGTGAGACTCCTTCTGCTTGTTTGTTGCATTGCATGCATTTTATTTACAATTATTTCTTTTGCTGTTTGTTTTCCTTTGCCATGTTCCCCTAAGAACTCTGACTTCTCTTGTTCAATAGAAGTTATGACATACATTAGGGTTCTAACCATGCATGATAACATTAGGTAGTTCCCTCCTAACCTCAACCATAGGTCCATTTTGCATGACAACTTTAGGATTGAATTAGTTCCCCTTTAGTGCGTCTTTTCTCTTCTCATCTGCAAACAAACTCAAAATACAGTAATAAAGGTTAATTGACGTCGTACATTACGAGCCTTAAGCTATTTGAGAAAGGATTGTTGGAGAGTTTCTTTTCAACAGTCTGGATGTTTAGTATGGTACCCTTTGGGTGACATGCGACGCATTCACTCTCAGGTCATAGTCTCTAGTGCGATATCAGTTGCAAACATCCATAAAAGACACTTCTCTAAAATACAGAAAACAAAGATCAAATTCTTTTTGTCCTCTTGGACCTTTAATCCCTGGAACCATTTTTTCAGAAGGAGGGTTCTGTTAACTCCCGGTTCTACCGCAACCGGTAAACGCCTAAGTCTCCGTCGAGCGAGCTGCATACACCAAACTGCTGGAACCGTCTGTTAACCCTACTCGGATAAAAAAGACAAACATGTATCCCTCATGTCCCGAACTAAGTTTGCTCTAATCTTTCGCGCTGTGTGAAAGTATGTAGGCACGAGATGCGATATCTCGGTGAGCAACCTTCCCCCGAGTTAGGCGAACTACGTTGACTCTGATTTCTCGTTCCCGACGAGAATACGTAGGCATAAAGTGCGACGCTTTGCCGAGTCATTTTTCTCTATGCGAGTCAATCCTAGCGCTTGTGTGTTTACCTGTTGGGTTTTATTTATCGCATTTACTTTCCGCATTTTATTTTCAGTATGATTATTATTATTGTGCTGTTGTGGGAAGGGGTTCTGATGAGTGAGAAGCCAGACCCAGGCTTGAGTGTACTTAGCATTAGTTGTGGAAATTAGTGGGCGCTGTCGCGGTGAAATTTGGATACCAAACTATTAATTAGTTTGAATCTTATTCCTTTGCAACCAAACTTTGATTTGTCCAAAGGAAGGGATAAAGATCGAAATTCCCACAATGCAATGCAAATGCAAGCTAGAGAGTTTTAGGTTTGGGGGTTGGTTAATCTTAGGGAAGGTGCTAGCATCCTAAGTTTCTGTAGTACTCTACAGGAACCTCTTGTTTTATGTTTGTTTATTGCTAAGGGTTTATTTGCTTAAGGTTTAAAGACCCTAGTGGTTTATTTCTAAGTATACTCGATAAGATGTCGCATCTTATGCCTACATATCCTTACGGGAGTGGAATCAGAGTATCTGTAGTTCCCCTAAAGGGTTAGAGGAGTTCTTTGACTATGGTCAAAGTTCCTACGGGTTTAGGGTAGTTGATTGATTGATTTTAGGAGAAGAGATGCGTTGTCATTTTAAGGAAGATTTAACCGCCACAAGTTGTAGGAAAATAGTCTTTGCATCATCTTAAGAGAAGGGCTCAAGTACTCAGATAGGGATCGACGAGGTACGCCTTTATCTCTCTTAAGGCAAAGTTCCTACGATATTGATTGTATCGATGTGGGGTGGAGATTCTATCTCGCTTAAGATGATTTGGCATCTTTCTCTAATGTGTTTGAAATAAGTTTGTATTGTGTTGATTGTGTTTTGTCTAAGTTGTAAGGATAAAGGCAAGGTCCTTCCTATGGGGTAGGTCCTAAACTTAAGAAGATCGACTTGAAATGAGATCAAGGATCAATGGGGAAATGATGCAAATGATGCATACTCACGATTGTGAGATCATGCGCAGATTCTTCCTTTGGACGGAATGCAAGGCAGGAATATAAATGACGGTAATGTTTGAATTGCGGATAATAAAACCATACATACGCATGAAAGCGCTGAAGTGTGTGAGAGTGAATGTGTCGTGAAGTGTAAGCATGCTCGATTAGGTTGTATTTTACGTTGTTGATTCTAGTTGATGAGAGGTTGATTTTAGGTGAGATTAAACTTAGGTTGTCTAGATTAATCCACAGAGGTTAATTTTAAAGAGGAATTTGTTTAGATTTCTTATAAAAAGTTGTTTAGATAAATTATTAAGATAAGTTTATATTTTATAAAAAAAAAAGAGTTTGCAAAACAAAAGAAAGTCTAATTATGGTGTAGATTAATTTTAATTAAGGCTAAGAGGATTTCTTATAAGGTTTTGTTATAAAAAAATAAATGGTTAAATTAAAAGAAATTGTTTATTATTTATAAAATTGTCACTATAAAATAAATTAGAATAAAGTAGTTTTGTTATTATTTAATAAATAGGTATTAGTTAAATAAATTATGAAAATAGTTTTTCTTTTACTAATATCATTACCTAATAAGAGTTAACAAATTGTTTTTAAAATAAAATAAAATTCAAATATAGTGATTAATTAAAAATAGTTAAAAAAGGTTTTAGTTATTTAAAAAAAACTGATTAGAGAAAAGGTTATTAATTAATTAAAAAAAAGTGATGATTAGATTTAAATAAAAAGAGATTAGTGGCTTAACGGGAGTTAATGGAGAGATTAGTGTGGTGTTGTGTGTGATTAGTGTGATGATTATTTACAACAAAATAATAAGATAAACAAAAGCACAGAAAACCCTAATTCCCCCCAAAAGAAGCCCCAAATCGATTCCCCTTTCTCTTTCGCCGTCGATCCCGTTTTCTCCTTCGATCTCCTCCTTCTGCTCCGTCTTTTATCCTTAATCCCCAATCCTTTTCTTTCTTTTGAATCCTGAAACACCAACAAACAAGTTAAAAATTTCAATAAACTTGACACAAATGGAGGGATTACCACAGGTTTGGACGATTGATCGATGGCGCGAAAGGACGATTTTGCTTCGATTTTCTCCGGTGGCGATCTGCGATGGACGTGGTTTGGAGATGGCTCGCGAACAACTTTCGACGGTAATGAAGATAAGTGTTCTCCTTCTGTATTGAGGTTTGAGCGAATTTTTGGTGTTTGTCGATATCTGTGGCCGTTATTGATTGTTGTTGTTGTTTACAGGTTTTTGGAGTTTGAAGCTAGAATTGGGGCTTTTTGTGATTATTCGATTTTGTTCGTGAACCTTCTGTCTCTTCCCTTCCTGACTCTGGATTCATCCCCTTTTTATAGCTGATTTGCCCTTCTTATCACTTAATTTCTGAATTAATGTGCGATAAAAGGCTTTCCAAACTCGGTGGTTCTTGTCTGTGACTGTTTTATAAATTGCTTGAATTTGTTTCTGTTTGTGTCTGATTGTGTCTAATTCTGTTTTGGAATTTCCTTTGACAGGTCAAAATGTGTAATTGCTGAAATATGACATTGACAATTTCCTATTTGGAATGTTTGGTTTTCTTCGTGAACTGCTCGAGATGAGGTACGTCTTGAACATCTTGGATCTAGGAACTGTCTCTTCCGTATTAATGTGGCAATTTTTTGAAAGCAAAGGTAAACGAACTACCAACACGCTCACATGATTTCAACATAGGTTGGTTTTCTCTTATTCTTCGATGGCTTAATCTTCGAAATAACGAGCTTGAATGTTGTTTTTCTCTTGAAAGGTCTGGAGCTTTTGTGTAACACGTTCTTGGCAACTTGTCTACTCTCTTCCTTGCTTGATGAACGTGTTCGTTTTCCTTATTATTAACATTTAGCATTGTGTCTTAAGGTGTCGGTTTGGTCGTAGTAGTTAACATTTATCTTATCCTCCTTCATGCTACTGAATTATCGTTGCTGCTCATACTTTTCCTTTTTCAGGTAATCAAATTTAGGAGTCTCTAGATCTTTACCAATTCTTTCAAGTTACAGGGTGATGTTTGGTCGAACTTGGCTACAGAATGTCCTCTATGTGGAAACTCTAAGCCGCCATAAAAGTAAGCTTTATTTCCTGCAACCTCAAATTCTCATAGTGATTCACATTGTCCTTTTGTCTCGGACCAACAATTTACTTAGCATTTTCTTTCGCAGGTCTTCGCACGGTGAATTAACGGCCGAAAGTATTCCTGTCAGAGTCAGCAGGATTTCTAATCTCAAACATATCTTCTTCAGCATCAGAGCTACATATCAACACATAGTGACCACACCTGCAAGGCCGCAATCCCAAGTACATATTTGATTTATGTGTGGTACTTCAATGAAAAGTGAACACCGTAATGACGGAGGATTGGACCCTATGTTACATGATAAATTCTGAAACAGGTATGGTTCAATCACCTTCAGATTTTCTCCTTTTATTTCTTTTCATCTTCCATTTTAGGAATCTTGTTGAATAGCAGGCATATGGGCCACATCAATGACTAAGTTGAACGTATACAATGTTTACTTTCAGGAAATCAAAAGAGTTCGAAGAAGGTAGATAGGCTGTCCTTGTAGTCTATGTGGAGTTTCATCACTAAATCCTCATAAATTGCAGATAAAGCGTCTTCCCTGATTGATAAATTGACATAAGCTTTGCAACATGAGCAACGGACTGGACCGCTCTCGCCAAAATCAACCACTTGAATGGGATCCTCGGATGGGTGTGGGAGCGCCAAATGTTGGACTAACACAGCCAACTGCAAGAATCTATCATCTGGGAAGGTGGGCTGTATTAACCACTTAAATTCATATGCCGCCGGTTTCTCTTGGTGACGCATGGTCTTCAATTTTGAGTTTAGCATGTCACTGCGTATAATTTTGTATTTTCGGCAGGTTGAGGAAGCGTGGCCGCCGCGGAATCAGAATGGAACAGGGAGTCTTGGTATCCTAAATGATGTGGTATGAAGCTTAACTTTCAAACACAGGAATCCATTTCGTAATTTCATGCTTCGATAATGTTTGAATGTTGTTACTTGCTCTTACGGTGTTCGAAACAATTGACTCATTTTATTGTTGATGGCTTTTCTAATGTAGGATCTGCAGCTTGTCTGGTTCAACAGTGTTCACCGCTTGAATCAATCCGAGAGTTTCCAGCTGCATAACTTATTTGTTTTGGCAATAGATCCAAGGCCCAAAGCTCGACCGATAAGTTCTTCAAGTTAAGGGAAGGCAGACGTTGAGCCATTTCCAACAATGTCGGGTGATTTCTCATTGTCAAGCATATTTATTGTACTCGAATCTTCGGCAGAGAAATCATCTGAGATATCAGTTTTGGTCGTTAACTGTTGTAGGCAAACTATTATGAGAAGAGTCTTTAAGAACATCCTTTGTTGGGAGTGCGAGTGAATCTGCAGATAGATTACCATTCTTCCCATGCCTGGCTACACTCAAAGATGGATACGGAGGTGGTTTTAACTCCCGGTGTTGAAAATTGCTTGTATGAAGTGTGTTTGGAACTGATACCGTCAGCGAGATTAATGGCACAAATGCTTTCTGGCGAGGACTGAAGGCTCGGCTTCAATGGTAGTGGAACAACAAGGTTCACACATTGATTTCGCAAATGGATCGATAAAAATTAAGGTAGCCGTTACTGATATGTTAGAATAACTGTATCTGCAATGTCATTCCATTATGTGTCTTCCTGCCATGAAACTCATTGTTTTTTCCAATTTTGTTTCCAGTGAGTGAGCATTGGATGTTATTCGCACCAGGTGACGAATCTGTCCCCTTGCAATTGGTAATGCTTATTATTTGATGCTCCTTTCTTACAGGTGACAGTTTCTTGATTTGCAGGGAAATAAATGTCGTCGGCAAGTTGATTCGGACAAAGCTGGTGTCTCTAAGCTTCTAGAGCAAACGGCTTCCCCAATTATATTGTGGCATGCTACCTGGTAAGTCCGGCCAAACGTCGGTTATGACTTTGCAATTATAAATCCTTTAGTGTGATGGTCCATATGGGAAAGTAAAATCTAAACTAGATTATTTGCAGCTTATTTCCAGCTGAATGTGTAATTCGACTTTTGGTCGGCGAAGTTACTGACTGTCGCTCTCTTGTTGTGTTATGTAGGTAGTTAAAGGACTGGAATTTTTACTTGAGTCCAAATGCAACACTGTTATGGATAATTTGGTTTTAGGCTGAGATGGTGAATGCCGATACGGAGAAGTTGGAGATTCCGTTGAAGTCGCAGCTCAGTCCAGTGTGTCCCCACCGGATTCTCGTAGTTAGGAAGGTTCCATTTTATGAGATCTACAGATGTAACACCTGCTGCATAGCTCCTTGATGATGTAGCTTATGACATGTTATCAATAGAAACATAATCAATCAAAGTCAATTCTTTCATTTGTGTCATCCCTGTAAATTGCAAATTCTGTATTTCTTTATCATATTCTAGGTAGCGTACACAACCATCTGCTCTAATCTGAACTTGAATAAAGGTCAACAATTGGAATTAGAGTAGAGCATGTTCATAATGATTGTGTCTCAATTGATTGTAACCAACTTAGTTACAGCAACGTCGGAGACGCTTAAAATCCCATGAACACCTTTAAAATGATTTATTGGGGTATCTCATCCGTTGCGCGACAGATTTTCCCAACACCAGATTTTTAGCAAGGGAAAAAAACCATATCGCCATGTAGATCTCCACAAGCTAGGACCTCGTCTTCCAAACATGCACCCAAACGCGTGATCCGCATTCCGTAACTTGATATGAATTTACATCCCAAGGATTTGCACCAATAAGTACCTAAAAGCATTTGGATTATTTTTACCTTGAATTTTGAATATGGAGGGATCCAAATTCTTTATGCTTATACTTGTAATTAAATGGTAAGCCGCCTTGAACTTCATAAACACGGAGCCAATGACTCTTAGAGAAATAATGTACTTAAGATTAATGTTCCTGCATACACTCGTTAGCCATAATAAATACGCATACAAGAATATAAAGATAAGACGAGCAGGAACAACAAAACAAAAACAAACGGGATCTTAGGGTCAAAAATTAGGGTGCAACAGGCGCGTGCTTCCTTTGCAGGCACTAGTGTCTCATGAAATCCACGCTCAGACGAGGTTCTCCCGGTTGAATTCTTTTCCGGCCCTTTGGGCTTGAGGGGTTGTTGGTTTGGAGGATTGTCGAGTCTGGGGACCGATCATTTGTGACTCAGCAGAGTGAGGCCACTTCAAGGGATGATGATGCCACACCTTCTGGGTATCGTATCATCGCTCTTGAAAGTCTGTGATGCTGGGAAACGCATAGGATGCCATACCTTGTCTATGATTAGGTCCATACCTGTGAGCGGGGTCAGGTTATTGCAGGAAACCTTAACCTTCAGACTACCTGGTTTTCTTGACGGTGAATCAGTGTTGTTGGGTTCAGAGGGTTTTGATCGTCAGAGATGTGGTTGATCTCGACAGTGTGTATTTATTGGTCCTCTTCAGGGTGGTGCTATCAGAGCAGTGTTGTGATTGTGTTGGATCAGAGCTTTGATCTTCTCAGCAGCCATCTTGATCCTCTGTTGCATGTTTGCATTTTGCATTTTGCATACTCATTTGCATATCATTAACGTGTGTCTGTGTTGCAGGTACCTTATCCCCCGGTTCAGGTTTTCTTGCCTTCTGTTGTGTTATTATGGGTTCTCTGAGGAAGACTATAGCCTACAAGCTCCCCACTCCAGATGTTGCTCTGTTGTCCAGGTTGATTTCTTTGGCAGATGATACTCTGAGAGGTGAATTCAGAAAGTCTTATGGGAAGCTGCTCAGTTTGGTCCGTAAACCTTCTGTGTATGAGTTGAATGGGTTGTATGCCTTGCTGCAGTTCTATGATCCTCCTTTGAGATGTTTCACTTTCCCAGACTTCATTCTTGCACCTATATTAGAGGAGTATGTTGATTTACTGGGTGTGCCTATCAGGAGTGAGATGCCATTTGTTCATATGGATGCTGAGCCTAATCTGGCTAATCTAGCTCTTTCTCTTCATCTGGATGCCTCTGAGTTAATATTGTCTAGTTGGAACGGGGTTCCTGGACTTTCTTTGCAGTTCTTAGTTGGGAAAGCCCAACAGTGTGCCAAAGACGGTTGTTGGATTGTTTTCAACGCCATTCTTGCTCTCTGCATATATGGTATCATTTTGTTTCCTAACATGCCTGATTTTGTAGACTTGGACGCCTTTCATATTTTTGCATCAGGGAATCCAATTCCTACCTTGATTGGCGATGTGTATCATTCCGTCCACTACAAGAACGAGAACAGAAGGGGTAAGAATGTGTCGTGCTGTGTGCCCTTACTCTTTATATGGTTTGATAGTCACCTACCCAAGAAGGGTCTCTTTGCTTCATCTGCAGCCACAGTTGAGTGGTTTGAGCGATTGATGGGTTTATCAGCAGAGAGTGTTGTTTGGTTTGATAGAGATATGTTGGGTACTGAGATTATATTCAGCTGCAGTGGGTTTCTGAATGTACCTTTGATTGGAAGAAAGGGTTGTATCAACTATAATTCATCTCTACTTGTCTGACAGTTTGCTTATGCATTGAGAGCTCCGCCTAAGGATGAAGAGGTGCAGGAATCTCTGTACCTCACCGGTCTTCTAGAGGGGGATATGTTATCTAAGCTTCAGCATGCCTGGAATGATGTCAGTAGACGAGGGAAGTCATTGTTAGGGAAAAGTAATGGCCAAGCCTACGCTCCGTATGTGACCTGGATCAGAGCCAGAGCAGAGATTATAGGGATTCCTTTTCCACCTGCTAAGCAGGAATGCCCTCCAGTAGTGGAAGAGCCTACTATCGTGCCTATTCAGCGGTATAATCAGGTGTTAGCTGAGAGAGAAGAGCTGAAGAAAGCAAATGTAGAGTTAGAGAAAGAGTTGGCACAGATCAGAGGCGAGAGAAGTGAAGCCGTCCACTCCTTCAAGAGGCAAACAAAGTTGGTGAACAGATTAGGCACGGACTTGACTAAGCAGATAGCTGATCGTGAGCGTTTGGGTCTGGACTTCAAATCTGTTAATGATGTATTGGCTACTAAGAAGCAACACTTGGATGAAGCATACCGAAGAATATCCAAGTTTAATCAGCAGTGGAATGCCACCATAGCCAACAACAAAGAAAGGGAGGACAAACTGAAGCAGCAAATCTCCAAATTGAAGGCTCAGGTGAAGGCTAGTGAGAAGAGGTTTGATGAGGAAACTGCTCGCAGATATGCCGCTGAAGACATGTGGAACAAAGCTCTCGCTAACTTGAAGGATCCCAAGCAGAGGTTCGAGTCCAGGAACCGAAAGTTAGAAGATTGCTTTGGCCAGGGAGCGTGGGAAGATTCAGTTGAGGGTCTCCAGTGTACTATTATGCAGAGAGAGTTGCTTGTTGAAGGGTTACTCGCTCGTCCTGATCAACCCGAGACCAGAGAGTTGCTAGAGGAGTTTCGTGCCCGTTGTCGCACTTGATTATCTTTGTAACTCTTTGTATTTTTCTGATTCTTGTTGTAGGCTGACCATCACCAGGCCTGTTGGTTGAGGTCATGCTATTGATTCCCATTGTATTCATTAACCTTGTACTACTGCCTTGTTGGCCCATCTATATATGAGATGTTGTTCCAGTGACTAGATCCAGACTTCTTGTTATCAACACTTGCACTCTGGCACTCGAATCGGGGGAAAATCTCCCTAACACACAGACACACGTTTGCATTTACATAAATCATTCGCATAGCAGGTACCTTGTACTGTTCTTCTAACCCTCTGTTGATGCAGATTCCAGGATTGTCGATCAGCGAATTCATCACTATTCTACCAGAAGCAACTATAAGAAAGCCATGGATCAGATGCAGACCGAGATGCAAGAGATGCGCGATAGGATGGCGCAGTTCATGCAGGTGATGGAGACTGTGGCTAAGGTCCAGGAGCAGCTGCAAACTCTGGTGTAGCCACTGATTGCTAGGGTTGATAGTCAGGGTGTGCTACATGGTGGATTTTCTAATCATCCTTCTCGAGTCGGGACTCCTCGAGCAGATGACACGGTACCGGTGGTTGTCCTCAATACGACTAAGAATGATAACAGAGCTGGGAATGTGGATGTGACGGGGAATGTTGGTTTCAATGTTGGCACTGGGAATGTTGGTCTTGGTGTTGGGAACACTGGTATGGGTATTGGTATTGGCAACGCTGGTTTTGGTG